TTTCACCTGCTTAGAAAAGAATGAAATATTAATTGTGTTATATTGAGAGCTCATTTATTGTTTGATCATTGTAATCACTTATTAATCACTCAATATTATCCTCCTAATAAAAGTCAGTTAGTCTTTAACTGGCCAAAATAAAATTACGGCTCTTTGTGTGTTTTCTGTGTGTATTTTGATGACTGAACTATTTTGAACAACTTGGGGTTCAAGAACTCACAGATTGCTCTTAATTAAAATCATGGTTGTGATTTTAATGAGGAGTATATCTACAATGCCAAACAGCAACACTAAACACACAGCACATCACACTACCATCGTCTGCAGATTTGTGATGAACAGTAGGGACAGAAGTTTCCTTCGGTTGAAAGTACTGATAGAAGTTTTCAAAGTAGTCCATTGTGAAATTATTTGCACAAACTACAACTTTCTTTCAAAAWTAAAAGTAAACCACGCATCTCTGTTCTCCATGACTGTTATAAAAACAGCAGAACAAACACAGCCACCCTGTGAAGAAGTRAGCACAGTCTCCGCTTGGGTTACCAGGTGGGGGGCTGGACTCACCTTGGTGTTGCTAGGTTACCAGGATTGTGATGTCACAATCTACAGGTTTTTGAAACAGATCATTTTTTGATACAAACACAAAAAWTATATTTTTGCTGGTTTTTCCTGGTTTTCATCTGCCTCTTTGGTGAAAACCTTTCCTTCAAGCAAATGCCCCCCAAAAGCTTCACAATGCCCCCTATATTGCTTCCAGCAACCCTGTAGTACTCTAAAGTTTCCTCAGGGGGCAGTACTGACACTGTTGAGATACACTATTGTAAATGAAAAATGCAATTATGGGGAAATAAACTATATAAAAACATGTATTTTTCTTTCTTCCTGTAGAAAATGACACCTGGACCAGTCAGTCTGTATTTCCCTGTCTCTTTCCTGTCCCCCAAACTGGGCTGGTCGAGGCAGATGGCCATACGTCTTGAGCCTGGTTCGGCTGGAGGTTTCTTCCTCTTAAAAGGGAGTTTTTCTTTTCCACTGTTGCCAATTTTTAATGGGAGACTGTGATGGAGTAACAATTCAACCCAACCTGTTGGCTACCTTTATTTGGTAACTTAACAATTGACTTTTATATGTTTTTGTACAGTGCCCTGAGACAACATTYGTGTGACTTGTTTGAATACTAAAGGGAACAGTGTTAGACTTGGTTTTATCCTTGTGTCTATTAGTTATGATGCCCGCACGTGAAGTAGGGGTCATATTGTTTTTGTACTGTTTATTTTATTTTATTTTATTTTTTCTGAGACTTTTGGTCAACCGTAGTAGGGAAACAGCTGCACCAATCAACATGAAATTTGGTAGGAATGTTGATGTGTCTGACCTACACTGCACCAGCCAACGGTTTTACAATAGACTCCATATTTGAGTAGGAGGCTAAATCTGACAAGATAGAACTTGAYGCTAACCATTGCTGGACGGAAGTATGGACAGACAGATGCAGAGCGTTTCTATGTCCCCTGCCTCAACAACAGAGGACAAAAAGGGAGTGTCTAATATTTCAAAAATAATTTTACATAGAAGCTTCAAAAATTTTTGTTGTTGGCTATCCATCAGGCTCACCATTGAACACCACCCACCCCCACCTCATCCAAAATAATGAATATGTTTTGGTAACCTCTGAGTTCTTGTGCATTGGTGGTTTGYGTACGTGCAGGGGGTCATTTATGTTACTACAATGGAGTATCTAGTTTTAAATTCAAGTGATGCTRTTTATAGTGAGTTATAGGTTTAATGTGAAGCAGTGTCACATGTGGCCTTCACATGAAGTCAGACAATTTAAACAAGATRAAAACTATGATCATCATTGTCATCATCATCATGGACTTACTGAGCCTTTCTGCAGTTCCTCACAGCTGGGATCAGCCTCCATCGTCCCTTCTCTGATGTGTTGTACTTCTTCAGGTCCAACTCATCCAGAACCTCCTCTGACATCTGCAGCATGTGGGCCAGAGCTGWGCAGTGGATCTCTGAGAGGTTCTTCTCTGATCTGTTCTCTGACTTCAGGAACTCCTGGATGTCCTGATGAACTGAGAGCTCCTTCATCTCCATCAAGCAGTGGAAGATGTTGATGCTTCTGTCTGGAGAGACTGAAGTTGTGTTCATCTCCTTCAGGTTCTTTATGACTCTCTGGATGGTTTCGGGACTGATCTCTATCTGACCCAGCAGACCTCCTAAGACTTTCTGGTTAGACCCCACAGAGAGGCCATGAAGGAAGCGAACAAACAGGTCCATGTGGCCATTTTTACTTTGGAGGGATTTCTCCAAGACTTCCATCAGAAAGACACTCAGGGATGTTGTGCTTCTGAGATTGGATGGTTCTTCCTTTGAAGTTTGATTTTTCATTTTAAACCATGTGAAAATCTCTGAAAAAAACTTTGGTTTTGTGTCCATGTGTTTGTTCTTCAGGAAGCCCTTCAGAACTGTTGTGTTCCTGTTGGTGAAACAGTGGAACTGGTAGATTGCAGCCAGAAACTCCTGAACACTTAGATGAACAAAGCAGTAGACTGGTTTCTGGAAGATCACACTCTCTCTTTTGAAGATCTCTGTACAAACTCCTGAGTACACCGAGGCCTCTGTGACATCAAGACCACACTGCTCCAGGTCTTCTTGGTAGAACATGATGTTTCCTTCCTCCAGATGTTCAAAGGCCAGCCTCCCCAGCTTCAGAAGAACTTCCCTGTCGGCCTCTGTCAGCTCCTGTGGACCGGTCTCAGGTCCATGGTAATTGTTCTTCTTCCTGGTGGTCTGGACCAGCAGGAAGTGTGAGTACATGTCAGTCATGGTCTTGGGCAGCTCTTCTC